GATGGCCCTTGTGGTCTCTTCCAACTCTATGATTCTTTGATTCTAATACTGACTCCTGCAATTCCTGAAAAAGAACTGTTGCATGCATAAGGGGAAATTGTCATGGCTCCATCCTATGAAATCCTGGGATCTAGTAGCTAATTAAAAGGCACTAAGGCACCCTGAAAGGAGGGGGGGTTGAGGATTAAGTCACTTTAACACTTTTGCCCAAGGTCATCCATAACAGAGCAGGGATTTGAATCCTGGTTTCCAGAATCATACTTCAGCACTTAAACCACTATGCCAAACTGCCCCATATCTTTGGATATCTGCCCCATATCTTTGAATATCACCCCTCAAATTTTTAAAAAATAAAACACTTTAAAACTGAGGATGAAGAATTTAGAAATAACATATTTTTGGTGGACTCTTCTCTTATACAGATATTCGTACTTTGGCCTGATATTTGGAATAAGAGCTCCATCCTATTTGCTGGGCTTGGTATTCTTCTATCTTGTAAAGAAACATTTTAAAAGACAAAAGGCTGATATTGCTGAAAATGGAATGAAAGAAGGTGCACCGATGAATGGAGAAATGAAGCCAAATGACAATGTTGGTCCTCCTGAGGCAGACATGGATACCTGCATATAGTAACTGCTTCTACTTAGACAATGGTGCATAGATCATGGAACCATCTTGGTTATATAAGCATAGTAAAGATTAAATTGACAACAAAGTAGCATGTATTTCAGGGCATTCATTCTTGTTCTTTTTTCTTTAAAAAAAATACTTCAAAACAACTTGAGATGATCCTGAAACAACATTTTACATGGAGAAACATGAACATGTGTTTTTGTTAATAAGCACGATGAGCACCTGGAACCTTAAATGCTCATTTGTTTTTTAAACATGCTATCCTGCTTTTCTTCACAAATTGATTCAAAGCTTAGTGAACTACTTTTAAAAATCATTAAAATAATCTTATGGTAAGAGCATGGAAGTGAAAACACCAAAAGCTTGGTGACCTAATAAGGTCTTGACAGTGTTTGAAATCATCAGCAAAACACTAGCTGGCATCCAACTCAGTATTTATGATATTGTAAACCTGACTTATGGCATCATAAACTTTGGAAGTATTAACATAATAATTTCTGAGGCATTGGGGAACAGAGCAGTGGGCAAAGAAGCATTCAGCCCTCTCCCAGAGGTGACTTTGCACCAGTGCCTCACTGTTGCAAAAGGCCTTGCTACAGGGAGAGAGCTGGATACTTCTTCGCTCACCTCTCCACTCACCAACACCTCAGAAATCCCTCCATTGATGAGCTGCCTGACTTTTATGGTAGGGTTTGGGGGGTTGCATTATCAGACATAGCTTTGATAACAGAGCTCTGATGTCATTATTACATGTTTCAATACAGAATCTCATCTGACATGTTCTATGAAGAGCATTTTTTATTCAGAACTTGGAAAAAGTAACTTTTTGAATGACACGTCCCAGAATTCTCCAGCCAGTGACCATGCCAGTTGGGCATATATGCCAGCATATTACCCTGTTGTTCAATAAGGAATGCACTATAGCTATTTCTGCAATCTCAAGGAAACAAGTGGTGCATTAAAACCACAGATGAACAGTTTGATGCCGTGCAAGAAATGCACAACTGTGGTTGACATTTTGTTAGGGACACACGCACACATGAATCTCTCTTAAGTGAGAGGATGCCCTTTTTCAGATGCTGTAGGAGTTATTACAGTGGGATGTGGTGGCTTAGTGGTTAAGATGCCAATTCTGATGGAGATTGGAAGGTTGGCAGTTCAAGGCCTGAGTGCTGCATGATGAGTGAGCTCCTGTCACTAGCCCCAGCATCTGCCAACCTAGCAGTTAAAAAGCATGTAAATGCAAGTAGATAAATAGGTACCACTTCAATGGGAAGGTAATCACATTTGGTGCAGTCATGCTGGCCACATGACCACCAGGGCAGTCCTTGGACAATGCTGTTTCTTTGGCTTAGTAACAGAGATGAGCACCGCCCAGTACAATCAGCTATGGGAATGCAGCCAGACACTTCGTCAGTCCAGTCTGTTTACTATGAAGCATGGAATGGCCATTCAGGGTGGCTTCAGGGGCTTTCAGTAAGTTGGGGGGAAGTTATAAGATTCAGAGTCGCTTAGGTCTACATGCTGCTATTTAAGCTACATTGAAGAGGTGATGGATTACAGCCCCTTGGTGAAGTGATTACACTTGCAGAGCTTCTCTTGTGTAAAAGGCAATGGAATATGGACATAATGATATGGCCAAAAGAGTGCAACTACATGCATAAGGCAACATTAATGTGCGTGAAACACCAACAGGATGTCAGCCTATAATATCATGTCATTTTTAAATTAAAATAGACTAAACCCAGAATCCTGTTATGCCTTTCTGGTAACATACATGCTGTTATGCAAGCAGTTGCACTTTCACAGTGGTTACACAACCCTATTCAGTATTGCACAAGCAATGTTATGCTGATATAAACCACTGTGTGACCCAATAATTCCAACATACCTATGCTGGTGCAATTTTAAATTCTGCAACAAATCTCCCAATCTGCCAAATCAAGTTCACCCTCGAAAGTAATAAGGTAAAATGGCATAGAATATTACATATGGCCATTTAACAGTTTTTAGTGAATTATTTCCAAGGACTATATGAAACCAAATCTGAGAAGCAATTTAGACAATTCCCTTGGGGGTGGGGTGGGGGGGATTAAGCATTTCCTATTCTAGCACAACTGTTTCAATAAAAGTTGAAGCTGTTGTGGCAGAGTTCAAACATGGAGGAGGTAAAGAAATAGGTACCCTCTACTGGTGCCTCAATGCTTATGGGATTCCAGTTTATTGGGATTAGATGCAATCAAGCAAATTGTATTTAAAATGTATCCCTATTTGGCACTGTTGCATTGTGAGACCTGCTACAGGCCATCAGAAATCTTAAGTAAGATGTATAAAATCTTAAAGAATATGCTGTTCCGATGAAGAGGAGAGAGGGTGAGAGAAAGAACAGGAAACTTTGGTACCTGTCATGTCAACAACAGTGAGGACTTGGGCTGGGGGAAAAAAAAACCCTGCCCAGGCACCATCTCCTGAGCAGAAAGACAGCGAAGGACGTTTGGAGGATGTGGGGCCTTGCCTGCTGACATCCCTCCCCCCTCTCACTGGTGCTCACCAGCTGCACCTGAGCCCAAGGCTGCAGAGGACTCAGGCTGGGGATAAAAACCCTTCCCAGGCACCATCTCCTCAGTGGGGAAGTGGGCGGCGCAGCGGGAGAGAGACTGCTTCACCTGGCCCTGCAAAGGGCCCAAAAAAACCCTCCCGAACCCAGCAACCGGCGGCGTGGTGCGGCGGAGGTAGGCGGGACCTCCTGGGCCCATAAAAAGGCCCCCATTGAGCCTTCCTCCTCGCCAGTGGCGCAGCAGGAGAGAGACTGCTTCAC